TTTTTTTTTTTCTTGAAGTGGTAAGTAATGAAGTACCAACCTCCGTTTGCATTACCACCCAGACAAGGGAGCTTGTCAGGTTGTTCACTTTGGGATCAGTCAAGTAAGTATCGGTCTGGATACTCACTATGGGAACACATCACTGCCAAAACTCAAGACAACTCAATAACAGACACACGAATAAAGAAGAAATATGGCTCAGTGGGCATGCTTTCGCTGAATAAAATAATTGGTTTTGCTGCAGATGCTCATTTCGTCGTGTACTAATTCCCACACTACAGCAAGCAGCCTGATGCAAGATAGGCCTGAGGGTTACATCCAAACTCCACAAAATCAAGTCACTCCAGACCTTCCATACGCTGATCCCGCAAAGCCGTTAGCTCCGAATCCCGGCCGGAAATAGAGCATACTCAACTATGGGATTCTTCTGTGCCTGAAGTGAGATTTCCGTCTAGCCAAGTGGCCATGGTGTTCTGAACTGCAGGCTGAAGCCAACTTCCAATCACATTGGCTACCTCTGCTCCACCAATGTCAAAGTCCCCCATTACAGCTAGCACGGACACTGGGTGAATTCCTCTTCGTCGGATTTCGCTCGACCCGGGTCTAGGATGGCCTGGATCCCGCCTTGCTCTTGTGCCACCAACCCCAAGCTGCATCGGAATCTGCTCTAGTCTAGACCAACAGGAATTTGGCTAAACACCTTTGTCAATGACCCGGCCCAGCTCCGATGACCGAGAAGCGTTACTAGGGAACTACTGCGGTTTCCTTCGCTCGCCAACCACAGGGATCACCGCTGTGAGAAAGAGACTGGACACATCAGGACCGTCAACCCTGCAGCTGCATAGACTCCCGGAAGATGTCCCACAAGCTATACCAACCAGAAAGTAGTAGCCTTAAGCGACCATCTGTAGGCAACCAGTCGTCTGTCTCCATTACCGACTCCTGACTGTTTCAGAAACAACAAGGTAGTGATTAGGTAGTACTAATCGTTGGCACAATCACTCCAGCCAGCCTTGGCCTCCTCTTCTTCCCGCGTGGTCTCCGACCACCACCTCATCCAAACCCGAACCCGCCTTCTTGCGGTTCAAAATAAATTCGAAGACATATTTTCGACCATTTTTCTTGGCACTGATTTTCACAGGATCTGATACCCTGCAGACTCACAGACCCTTTTCTTCCATTGATTGGACGGGCCCTTGGGACGAAAGCAAAGACATACGCTAAGCCATCTACAAGCTACAGTAGTATCCACTTAGCTTACAATGACACGAGGGGGATCATCCGCCGGTGACAAATAACTCAGGTAGGTGCTAGCAGCCCCATTCAACTGTATAGTTTAGGCATGATGGGGAGATGATAGACAGTCCTTGCGATATTCTTCTTCAGTGTACTAGTAGTAGGCTGCTGGAATATGGAAATTTGATGACAAGCCTAGCACTACACTACTTGATAAATATATATAGTAAGTAGATAGATGGAATCGAGTTTGTACTACAAAAACCCAAAAGAAGAAAGTTTACGATGAATGCTTACACCCCACAAAAAAAACAATTCACCAATGGGCTGGCTAATGCGTAGCCCGTCCAGATCTGGTATTTGGTGGACGGGACGAAAGTCAGCAGTTGGGCCGGAAACCTTAAAAAGTACCAACTAAAGTACTACCTGACACCGTCAATGATAGTAAAAAAAAAGGATTATCTCAATAAGGAAAACCTAACCCCGCGAATCAAGTACCGTATACCTACTCTAAGACTAATGTAGTTCCAGCTATGTTCTGTGTAATGTGAGAATGGCTATTTAACCGCCACGGCACGCTGGTACAGCAACTTGGGGGGTACATTGGTACTAAAAGCTTATGCATATGCAGGGTAGGACTTGGCCAATCAGTTAACGTATAATCAGCTAATGTAATGGCAATAGGGGCCGGCTAAGGCAGACTTGCCTAATGAAACTGCAGCTCTAGATGCTACCCCGTCAGTCCAGTAGAGTTTCTTCGTGCAGACATTGTAGGACGAATAGATTAATGAACACTGGTCACGACGGACTCCAGGGTCAATCGAGTAGTTCGGTTCGTGTGACCGGAACCAAGTTCCCTTCGCCGCCGGGCCAATCGATATTGTACGATAGATGTTTGCTGGGATGTTGTAGGCGAGGAAACCAGGGTATTACCATTTTCTTCTGAACGAGGTTTGAGGCTGCGCAATTTCCAGATTGAGTTAGTAGGCTACGGAGAGGCCAGCTGATTATAGATTATCTTTTTGTAGAATTACTTAAAGGGAAAAGGGAGGTTCTTGATTCCTCACCGCCGCAATTTGCCTGGGCCATCGGATGTCTGTGCTTGTGAGGTGACATCCAACCTAAGTACCAAGCTAGTAACTCAGCTGCTTCATCGCTTCGAGTGCGGCTATGATGGGGTCAGGCTAACCAATTCCATGGCTAGCGTAGACGTGCGGCCGTGCAGCCGTGAGATTTTGCCTGTCCAATGAGGGGTGGTGGGATGGAAATAACGCCCTGGGACTGAAAGACATCGTGGACAGTGTATGTCTTTTCTTAATTGGGTTGGGTAGCGAGTCCTATACTGTAGGAAAGGAAATGGATGCAGGTGAGGCGGGCGAGGAGTTGTTCGGTCTAAGCTTGGTTTGGATTTCGGGTGAAGATTGTGTTTAGAGTACTAATCTGGATGTAGGAGGGATGGTTTTAGGTGGTATGGTATGTATGGTATGGTATGATTGAGCAGCGAAAGTCTGTCTAAGGACTCGGTGTCATGCTGTTCTCTATTTTTCTGCTTTCCTAGCTAGGCTGTGTCTTTTATTCTGTCTTGTAGCTTCTTTTCATCATTTCGAGACCAAGTAGTGGGTAAACGTCCCGTCTATATCTATCTGAGGATGTCTATGCTGATTCTATCGATATATACACGAAGCTCACATCGGTCTATTTACTGAAAGTCTCGATCGCCGTCGTGTCCACCCCAATAGTGATGTATCCGATCAACCCCTTGGACAAATCGTCCTCATCCACAGGAACAACAGACACAACCGGGTTATATCCACCCTCGATATCCTCAGGGCACACCGTGTCTTCAGCATTCGTGGTCCGGTTAATCTGCGTATGAGACGCATAAGGCTCCATACTCATAACCTCCTGTTCAAGCTCTTCCTCAAAGTACAGCTGGCCAGTGCTGACGGTGTTACTGGCAATGATGGTACCGTTTTCGCGAACAGTCCAATCGGTATGCACTTGGGCGTGGATGTGGATGGCACGCTCGACGTAGAAGCCTACATTGCATATCAGTAAGCACATGTAGCTATGTTGGTAGTGAAATTGACTTACCTGGGAATATAGTCTTCATCTCCATGACGCCGTCCTCGTTCGTCGGCCACATACCACGGAGCCATGTGGTATCGTCCGTGTGCAGGTCCGTGACACCCATGTCATAGTCGGTAACATTCAACTCAGAGAGGAGTGTTGGGAAGGGGGTATTGGGGGAAAGGCCCGTGAATGAGGAGTAGGAGCCCGTTGCGTTGCAGTGCCAAAAATCGAGGAGGGCGTTGGGCAACGGCTCACAGGTGGCCATGTCCAGAACTCCCACGTCGAGCTATAGGGGCACACCTGGCTGGTCTTCCGTCATGTCTTGACGAAGAGTCTGGGAGCGAGGCCAGACATAGGGACCACGGGTGACCTCTGGGGTGAGCACGCAGGTGTTATTCTGGATAGTCTCGTAGTAGGGAGCCTCGGTGACTATCTCGAAGGTAGTATTGTGGCCGGATCCCTCCCAACGCTTCTGCATTGCTCGCTTGGCCATGCGGCGCTGGTTGAAGCCTCCAACCTGGCTGGCGCATCGCTTGGCCATGTCACTGCGTCGCTGAATCTCTGCGCGAGGAAGGATGTCATGTGGGCCAGGATGGGAAACTGCTGTGCCTGCCGCGAGGAGAATAAGAGTGAGCTTGGGGAAGTGCATTTTGAGGAATGATTCTTTAGAGAGAGAGGCGTTGGTGATCTGGGCTATGTTGTTGAGTAGGAAAGAGGAGGGATGGGTGGCTTTATAGAGACGCCTCTTGACTCGCTTCGCAGTGTTAATACAAGCACATGACGATTTGGATCACTCTCATTGCTCTCGTCGGTGCTCCTGGCTATCGAAGTGTGGACCGTAGTAGCCATCACATAGAGCACACTTGCTTGGCAATTTGCCAAACTTCACTGGACGCTCCGTCTGGTACCGACTTCTTGACCATATGAATAGGTCAAGATTTCGCCATTTCCTTGGCGTTTGTATTCCTGGAAGGCATAGATCACCAGGGGCAGTGTCTAACCTCCACCAATTGTCATACCTGTGGTGAAAGCTACCTTACGGGTCCTCTCATAGAGGAGTTGCCTTGGCTCTTTCTTCCGCCGATATGTAAACATGAAGTCTCGGCGTGAGACATTACGCAATGCCCTCAATAGTAGATAGACTAGATGTTGCAAATTAGGGACCGGTGGTCAGGGCAAGTAATGTGGAACAAGTCTCATGGCTAGGCTGCACAGATAAAAGAGTCAAGATGATTGGAGGATCCAGGGTGCTCTAAACCGATCGGCGCGCTGTTCGAACATACTAATTAGTTTATTGTGGATCTTCAAAGATCCCGCTGATTCAGCAGTATCTCGGACTCTTCTGGGGTGAAGCTGCCAAGAGTGGAGAATCAAGAATCTGGACCATGGTGAGCGATATTTTCATAGATGGCGAAAGCTACATCAATGCTTTAATTGTGGGTAGGATAGCAACCATGGTCTGTAATTGTCTGAGTAAGCGGAAGTATAAGCGGCAAAGACAACTCCAGTGTAATCCTTTGGCAGTATTCCCGTTTTAGTATATGCCAGCTTTCGCTTTCTATGCGCGGTTAAGGCCGGAATTTGCGTGTCGTCATCTCTGTAGGTCGTTAATGTGAGACACAATTCTCGAAGGGAGATAGATGGATACCATAGCTGTGCGGAAAGACTCACAGTTCTATGGTCTACTAGTCAGTCCCAGTCACTAACAGTATTCATCGAATGGCCCTTTTCTAGAATGTAGAGAATGGGATTTTCACTAGACATATGCTCGAGGTGTCAGCGGACCTCATCAGTCTCAATCCGCCATGAACCACTCAGGCAGACCCCGTTCGAAGCTAGAATGATATAACTTCAGCTCAGGCTTAGACCCATCCCCTTCTTCTTTATCCAATTCACCCCTCAACTCCCACGGATAGTAAATACGAGCGCCCCTTGAATTTAACAGACTGGCTATATATCTATGACCTTTGCTTAGCGCCACTTGATACGCGGCAGCACCACATAGATCAGCCCGGGCACCATGCCTCAGCAGGAACTCCATCATCGATGAATCTCCCCGCTGCGCAGCCAGTTTCATGGAGCTGTCACAATCCGTCGCTCCTCCCCGCATCAGCATAAGCACAATGTCTTGTCTTCCATCTGCAACAGCCCGATATAATGGCGATGGATGATATCGATCTGGCTCCGCCCCTCGGTCCAACAAGATCTCCACGAGCTTTTCATTGCCGCACTGGACGGCCAGGAAAAGCGGTGGAACAGGTGGTGGAGGAATTTCCAGTAACATGTGCCAGCCAGAGATGTATTTAGCAATTCGACGAGGAACGCGATAAAAGTTCGGCTGTGCGCCGCGGTCCAGAAGCAGAACCATCATATCCTTTTGCCCGGCTCGAATACTTGCAAGTAGTGCGTTCTGTACCGTGAGAATGTCTTTGGTACTGTACCTCGCTGCGCGTAGTGGGTGACGTGCAATATCAGCCCAGCTGAACAAATTTTTCATATTCTCATCACCACTATCCACTGACTCCTCTGGGTCGATGAGATCGCAGTCATATTCATGTTTGGGGTCGATTCTTCCTTCCCTGGAGAGCCATTCCCAATCACGTTCGGAGGGTGCCTGACGACGGGGCTTGCCCACAGCGGCTTTGAGTCCGTCGAGGAGCCTGCCAGCTAGGTATAGGTCACTGCTTTCTGCAACAGACTTTAGAGCTGAAGCATGAAAGTAGCGACTGTTGTAGACATAGAGCACATCTCTAAGGAGGCAATAGAAACGACGGTTAGTTCTCACAAGTGCGTAAATGTCCCGTTGACGGCGAGATGGAGACAATGGTGAGGATAGTCTCATTTGGGAGATGAGTGAGGTGCATCGAGTAAGAGGCAATCTAAGCTTGGGGCTGTTCGTAAGGTGGTATGATTTTCTGAATATTGGAGAGGGACAGGCGCTTATTTATGTTCAGCTGGAGACTAGCAACTAGTAGTTCACCCTTTACCAAAATAGGCATGTATGCGGGGTGGACGCATGATAAGACTAAACAGGTACGTTCTGTCGCAGACAAGCAACATGACCTTTTTCATTTCTATCGGGCTGACCGCCAATATTGACTACTCGAACTGGTTCAAATGATAGTTTCTCTGTGGAGCTTTCGGCCATCAGCCGTGTGCTGGTCATGTCCTTGAAAGTAAGAGGCGTGCCATCAGCTATGATAAATTAGAGCATAACACTGCTATACTAGGTATGTCAGAGATATCACCAACATCTCCGTGAGTAGGGCTTCAGTTTCTCTTACAAAACCTAAGCTGATCGATCCTATCTCCTCTGACAGATGACCCCGGTCAATCTGACCAGGTTAATCTCTCTAGCGGCAAGAGGACCAACAAACGTATCAGACCCAGTTGGCTTCAATACGGCCTGGTTGTGCAAACATACAGCGAGACATCTTCTGTGATAATCTTCTATCGCTCCTGAGTGGCTTTGGACAGGTCTTTGAATTTGGGACCATCAACAATCGCTATAATGAACAGCTGGCCTCGGCATTGTCTCCACGATCCAACCTGTTGATAAGAGCGAAGCTCCAAGTGAATATTCGCTCAGACGACTGGCTGTAATGGCGACTAGTAAACCAGCTTTGCCACAGTTGGAGTACACGATCGTCAAGAAACCCAAGCTAGCTCGGAGCCATTTGATCAGTTATTGGCACTGGTCGAAGTTGAACATTGCAGTGCGAAATTAGGAAGGTCAACATCTTGTGTTGTATAGTTTTCTTCTCATCAGCGTAACTATTCCAGCGGTGATACGCAGGTTCTATGTGCAAGAGTCCTAAACATTTATGGCTTCATAATACGTGAATATGGAAAGTCCACTTTGTTTCATTTCCCGTTTCTGCTGATTCATAGACCTCAGTCCTCAAATGCTTATGTCCGAGGTCAAGAATAGGGCATATTTGTAAGCCGGATCAATGGGAGGCTTTGATGAACGTTGGAATACCGATCATGTGCTCGTCGTAGCTCCTTCCATTCTTGATTCATCCTCAGAAACTTCCTCCACGATCCTTCGAGCTTCACTTCTCTTCGGCTCTCCGACTCGCCAACATCATCAACATAGGACTGATAGCCTAAGACTCGTCAGAAATCACAAGCAAACTAACAGCCTCTGATTTGCAACGAAAACTCAGCAATATTTTTTCAATTGAGTCACTGTCAGTCCCTGGTGGTGATACTTCGCCTGGCCAGAGACCTTGCGTTGACTGAAACATGACTTGCAGATCAGCTAATGATTGCTTTTCTGTTCGAGACCTAGGTCGAAACCAGTTGCCACATCGTTAACCCCCTGGATATTACAGGCCAACACTTCGTCCGAGGCCTTATCTCCGAAGACAGCATATCAAATACCCCAAGGCAGCAGTAGCTCTGTAAGGAGCGGGCTCCTCTGGTGAGAATCTCAACATGTGCGTGGTACAAAGCAGCAGCATGGGCCACCACTACACCTGGCGGGAATGGATAGCTGTGTAACGCAGAAAAGCCATTGTCAATGATTTAATCCGACAACTGCATCATTGTGAGACCCTGACATGTCCCTTAATGCTCTGGTCTCATATTGGGAGGCGATTCCTTCCATGGCAAGTCTTGCTGTGTCGTGCGTTCGACTGGGTCAAGATGTAAACTACTAGGGAGGCCACGTCGATAATGTCCCCAGAAACAGAAGCAAGGCTAGGACACCATGTTTCAGGAATGACCGCTCTCTTTGCACATGGACTGGTCTTCGCATGTTTCATTGCCTGTCGCCTGTAGCCCAAAGGTGCAACAAGCCAGCTGCAGTGACGGTCGGGCATTTATTGGTAGTCATGATGCTTATGCATCAAGAACTTGAAATTGGCAGCGAACAGCAGTCAACACCTCGGATAGCCAATGTGTCTACTTTCGCGGCCCTACTGGCTGTCAACCGCTTGGAGAATTGAACTTGGATGGCAGTCGCGATCATAAGTACCTGAAAGTGTCAATTTGGTGAGTTCTGATTGATAGTAGGTATGAAGGCATTCGTTCTTACACTTCCTCGACGCCATGCAATCGGCCTTGCATAGGTCAGTTCAATCGCAGCAGAAAGTGGCCTGCAGTGTCCGTATGACGGCATTCGTGGCTTCAATATTTGAAATTCGCCAGGCATTTAGAGTTTCCAGCAGGTTCTACTTCTATATTCTGGAAGCCATGCTTCAACACTCATTTGTGTCACACTCGATAGTATATGGTCTGCCGCCCGAATCGCCCTACTACGATGTCAGACACGGGAAGCTAGAACCGGCTCTGTGCAATGATAGCTAAGGATCGTATTCTGTTCCCGAAACGAGCTACCTACAGTTCTCGTCAACCTTCTTTCATACTCCGACCACGACATTTGGTCCCGAGGCCTTATCATTCCAGCTTTATAGTGTCCTCTAGATATGCAAGATAATAAGGTCTTGCAAATGCACGCAACAGAAGCCCCGATAAGGCAACTTCTTGTTGACGATCACTGGTTACGGTGATTGTATCGGATATATTGGGGCGTGGGGGTCCTATGCAATACCTTCGGATCAGTAGCTGTCGGCGACACGGCAGTGCATGCTGTCTCCCTTACAGTCATGAAGGTAGTTTTATTTACCGGTTTTGGAGACAGAGATCAGCCAACTCATGGCTTGCCAGCAGTTTTGTTCTGTTCTACTACAAGCACATCCCGGCCATTTGTTGAGCAGGCGACCAGACCAGTGTCGCAGTGTTGCTGGCCACCTCCTCTTTACTTTCGCCAATACGACGCTCTTGGCAGTATTGGGCGCCACAACGCATAGGCTGTATGGCGCGGATGCTGCTACTCTCCCTTCACGACGGCACAAGGCCTGTCCAGGCTTACTTGATCATCATTCGCGATGAACAGCCATGATCGTATGATCCCAAAGGCGTGAATCGCATACTGCTCGGCACGGCCGGAAGTAAAGTCAGAGAAATGGCCTAGGCTTCTGACTACAACAAAAGGCTAAATAACATGGTGCGGTTCTTTTACAGAAGCCGGTGTCAGACAATCCGAGGAGCGAAACCACCATCCAAGCGCCGATTGACGGGATACTTTCGACTTAAAGTTCTTATCTGGGCATAGCTTCTTCAGTAACACCACAGATCTGGCCTCACCTTGTGTATTCAACAAGCACTTTCAGAGCCTCTACCGTTTCTCTAACTTAACCCCAGGCTAGCATCATATATGCCACATTCACAAAGTCACATGCCACACTCATGCTCATGTGCATCACGTTCATGGGTTCAGTATGGACAGTCCGATCTGGGCAAGCATCCAGGATCATCCGCACGTCACCATTAATTGAGCAACAAAAAATGTACATGATTGCCAACAGGGCCAAGCATCGCAAGCTCCCTGGTTTTTAGCCCTCATATACTTCCAGATGTTATTGCACTATGCCGGCAAGGAGCCCGTTGGCAGCACCGATCCGCATGATCAACAGGCACGGATGGGGGCATGAACCATGCATCTGGGTGCAGGGAAAGGGAAGCCGCTCTCAGGTCCATCGGGGCCAACGGCGTCGGGATATTCGAGTAGCGTTAGCCGCCTTTTTTTCGACAAGCGGACCCAATACAGCTAGAGCCCGTACTCCCTGCTTTTACTTAAAAGGAAAATAAATTGGTGATACTTCATCTCTGCACCGATTATGTACCCTTGCGTTTGCGCTCAGATTCTGAAGCCCGTCATTCCCACGGAGCGTCACACAAACAACACACCCAGCGGCTACTTGCATACCCTCGGAAGGAGCCACGAATCGGGGATTATTAGGGGAAACAAGATGTCAGACAGTCCCTAGAGGCGACGAAGGAGTTGCCTTCCAAGACGCGGGTATCCCAGGTAAAATTCTGCGATTCCGTTGGCGACAGCGGCGCAGTCCCTTGGCAACGTTCAAAATCTCTTTCGTGGCAAAGGGGTAGATGGAGTCATAATGGATGGGTGCATTTTGATCACCTATTTGTGGAAAGTGCCGGTTGCTTAGGGTTTCGCCTCTCAGGGGCGAGCATCTTCTCCCTCTTCGGCAGCCTTTGATGTCCTTGCTTGGGTGTAACAATACGGGACGCATGGCCTCGGGTGCGGTCGCGGCACGGTCAACTGTCAGTAGTGTTCATGTGTGTTTGCATGTCACTACATATGCAAGCACCACACCAGAAACAGGGTCTAAGGATTGCCGTTGTCAGTGCGGCCTGGACTGCGTCTGGTACCTCGATACTCACCGACCTCTGCTGGAACCAACAGAGTACCCAGACAAAATTAGAAAGGGAAGAAAGTTCTGCAAGGCTCGGGCATCCCAATCTCCAGACCGACAGTGGTTGCGCCAGTGTCATCCAGAGGGTTCCACAATCCATCCCAAAAAAGGAACGAACGAAGCCCTCGTTCGCCAGGGTATTGGCTTGCCGCGATCATCACGAGGTAGCCGACACAAACGGGCCGGAAGCAGATGGAAAAGACAGCACATACGGTGAAAATTTTTATAGCGACATTTGGTGATCGGTCACTGTTTTCTGTTTCGCAGCGTCATTGGCAACAGGTGCATATGATGGCATCGTTGGTATCACCTTGGTGGCTGTCACTGGATACCCTAGAAAAGCTGCAACGGAAGGCGAAAAACCAAGCTATAAAGGTCAGCGCGCCACGGCCTCCAGTAGGGAACCGCTCTGAGATTCTACCCTATAGCTGCCTTGCTTATGTCTTGACGAGAAAGCTTATAGTACCATTCTGTTATAGTTTCCATTGGACATCCACGCGGACTCCTAAAGACGCACCACTCGCCTTTGCTGGCTCTGGGTCTGCGATAATCTTTACCAACACACTCGTTATTACCTCTGCGAAGAGATTTCAGCACAGCCATGCCGCAGAAAGCCGCTCAGCAAGCTGGGATTCCCGAAGGGCGCGGAGTCAGGTACGACGAGATCGATATGGCGCTCTTCCGCGCCAAGCTCTCCTACCATGCGACGGCCGAAGAGCGCATGGCGTCGCGAGATCCCAATCTCGTTTCTATCTCGGAACATCAAGCGCGATTGTTGAGGCTCTGGGAGATGCACCAGCACTCGAGGGAGGAAAAGAACGGCGGTAACATGACACCGGCCGAGAGGAACCAGCTAGCGCAGTTTCAATGGCGATACAAACGATTGGAGGACCTCGCCACGCAGGGCACGAGGTAGTAGCCAAGGACGATAGCAGCATCAACATGAGGGTTATTTGGAAGAGCGGCATCATGGGGCGTTTCGTTAGATGTAGATTCACGAAGCTTTTGGTTGTTGATTCGAGACAACCGGCTGTGGGTGTTTAAATGGCCCGTGGATCCTGATTTTTGTTCTGTTTCTTGTTCTTATCCATGTCCTTGATTTCCTTTTTGCCTGCTGGATACTTGCATCTAAACGTTATTTCCTCTCTCTCTCTCTCTCTCTCTCTCTCTCTCTCTCTCTCTCTCTCTGTCTGTCTGTCTATTTCATTGTTGTTCTTTCTCTTCTCCTGTCGGACCACATAGTACCCAACATTCGCTTGACCAGCCCTGTACGTACGCAGACCTCGAAGCAAAACACGTTCACGGCACTCCATGCACGCCATCTAGACTAGCCGCAGTAGCACCGAACTACCAAGTCAGCACCACCTCCCTCCCCCTCGACGTCAAGCATGTAACCCAACCCAATTCGATCAACGCCAGCCCCATTGCAACGGTAACGCGCCGTTCCCCGTCCAGCACAACCCACTCGTACGGGACACCAAGCCGTGGCGGTCGGTCGGTCGGTCCCAGGGGAACCAAAGAAGAGAGGAGGAGGTGGTGGGGAGTACAATAGTCACCTCCTCACGTCGTACATTTGGCACGCGACAGCAACAAAAAGACATCAACTTTGATGATTGCATGCTTCCTATTGTTCCGTTGATTCCCATTGCACATGCGAGGGGAAGTGGTAAGTGAGTGTCGTGTCCGAGAGCCGAGCGAGTCGGCTCCGTAGATCGATTCCTAGTTAACTAACTTACTTATGCCCTAGTTTGGTTATTGTGTATGTATGTGTATCTCTGTGCTGTCTTATTTTTCTCCGATCGGGTGTGTGCGTGTGCGTGTGTGCATGGTAGAGAGAGAGAGATGTGAGTCATGCGTAGCGAGACTGTAGAAGAGACGAGGACTATCCGGGTGCGCATCTAATTAGACGTTGAGTGAACTAATTAGAGAAATGATGTATTGCCCTCGGCTGTTACATAAAAATATTGGGGATTGTAGAGTGCTGTGGTGAGTCGGAAGAGGGCGACGAGGGGGTGTCGGAGAGCTCCGACCCGGTACTAGGAGGATGTGGAGTTTTGGTTTACTTTGGTTCTGGTGGGGTTGGAATTGGGTGGAACCGGATGCTAATTTGCAATGTAGAGAGTGTGTGTAGATGTGGTGGTGGATGTGTGAATTGGATTGAGTTCGCGGGTTGAATTGGGATGAGGATGCTGATAGACGATAGATAGAAGTAGGAGATGGGAAGGGAAGGGAGAAGGGGGTATGTAAATAATAAAGTGGAATAATATAGGGTGATAGTAGAAAGAGTAGATAGAAGAGAAAATGAGGGGGGAAATTGCGGATGAAGCGATAAGATCGAGTAATCGGCGGGGCAGAAACTCTTATCAACTCACATACTTGATTCTACTTAAACCTCATCATATTCCCTCCTCATTTCCTTTTCCCCCCATCACCTCTTTCTTTCTTTCCTCAGAACCCACTCCTCTTTCAAAATATCAAACCACCATATAATCAATCTACTTAAAAGAAACTCGTCATCATGTCCACCTCTCAAGATTACATCCCCGCCGACCAAATCGACTCCACCTTCGCGCACACCACCAACCTCGCCTCCTCCGCCCTCAACAGCACCATCCTCTCCTGCTCCAACGAATACTTCGCCGCCGCCTCCAACCTCCTCACCCCCACACCACCCATCAACCGCCCGGGCGTCTTCGTCCACACCGGAGCCTGGTACGACGGATGGGAAACCCGTCGTCACAACCCAGCCCCCTACGACTGGGCCGTGATCAAGCTGGGCGTGTCCAGCGCGCACATCTACGGCGTAGAAGTCAACACGGGGTACTTCGTCGGCAACTACGGCGAGAAGGCCTCTCTGCAAGCAACCTACGCGCCCAACACGCCGGATTCTGAAGTCGCGGACGAGAAGTACGCGAACTGGACGACGATTCTCCCGCCCGTGGAATGCGGGCCGTCGCAGCGGCGTGCGTGGAAGCTGGACCCCGAGGTGCATGGCAAGGCGTTTACGCATGTGCGGTTGTTGATGTACCCCGATGGTGGGTTTGGGCGGTTGAGGGTGTATGGGAAGGCCATTCCGGGGGATGTTAAGGTTGCTGGTGGGGAGGATGAGGAATTGAGTTCTGCGTTGGTGGGCGGTGTGGCGCTTGCGGCGTCGGATCAGCATTTCACTCCGTGTTCGAATTTGTTGTTGCCCGGTCGGGGTAAGGATATGGGAGATGGGTGGGAGACGGCGAGGTCGAGGGCGAAGGGTCATGTTGATTGGGCCATTGTGAAGTTGGGGTTGGTGGGGAGTGTGAGTCGGGTGGTGGTGGATACGAAGGATTTTAGGGGTAATTTCCCTAGGGAGGTGCGCGTGCATGGGCTGGTGGAGGGGAGTGTTAAGGATGGGGAGGAGCCAAAGCATGATCATCCCGGTTGGGTCGAGTTGGTGAAGGGCGATAGACCTTGTCGGGCGGATACGGAACATGTCTTTGAGGGTCAGGATTTGGCGGCTGGTGGGGAGGATACGAGGGCGTTTACGCATGCTAAGTTGACGTTGGTGCCGGATGGAGGTGTTAAGCGGTTCAGAGTGTTTGGAAAGCGTAAGGCTGTTGCTGCTTAGATATGATATGAGATGTAAAATGGGTAGTTACTAGGATCACCAAGAATGAACATCATGCTAAATAAATCTTAAACACTGCAATTCTTGCACCATGATATAAATCTCTAAATCATCCAAAACGCCAGACCCTGGTATTCTTCATCCCCTCGTAGACTCAACTGAAAGGAGATGGAAAAAATCACGGTATCACCAAGACATACAGATAGCAAAGTGCACGCGAGCCAGAGATATATATGATAGACAGAAACAACGCCGAAGGAGACATCACTTTAATCAACACACGCATGATAAACATCATTGTCTTCGATAAACCTGGTACTGCGTCGGTCTGCAGAACGGAAAGAGTGAAGAACAAAAGAAAGCATGAAGCACGAGTACATCGGACAGACGAGGGTAACCAAAATGCAAGAGACCGGGAATGGAGCCTCCACTGCTGGTATCATCAATCATATGCTTCATCATCATCGCTTAGAACTGAAAGGACGTGAACCAGCAAGACACGGAACGATGCTCAGCCCGTATGCTTTTCAAGGTATAACTCGCAAAGTACAATCTAGAATGAGCAGCGCAGCAACATCGATAGATAATCGCTCAGAATATGCAGGGTATCACAGGTGAGTCACTGACGGAAGCAATCGTCTAGGGTCAGTGCTGACTCAGAGGAATGGCAAAAGCTTGCCATCGTAGAGGTTAGAAGGAGTCACCACGACGCTAATTTTCTATAGGTTGCCGCTCTTGCAGTTGCTTATCTTCTTCAGGCGTCAGAGCGGTGGCTTGGCCGTCAATATTAGGCGACATGGAGTTGCTCCGTGGCGTCCCTGCCTCAGTGCTTACACTTCCTCGTTCCCGGTTCACCAGCCGCGTCCTTGTGTATGCTGGCACTGGTGCAAGGTATTGGTCAAGCATCTCACTCAAGATAGTAGATCGAACCGGCTTGGGAAGGTAGTTGTTCATTCCGGCACCAAGGCACTTCTCGCGATCTCCTTCGATGGCACTCGCCGTCATCGCTATGACCAACACTTCGTTGACATTGGGATCTGGGTCTTTTCGGATCTCGCGAGTGGCATTGTAGCCGTCGAGAGTCGGCATTTGTACATCCATCAGGACCACATGGAACGGGTTGCCTTCACGAGATCTTGTTCGGAGAGCTTCAACTGCCTGCCGCCCATCACTGTACGCTTCGCACTGGAGATTGAGCCCCTTGACGAATTTGACCGCAATCTTCTGGTTAATAGGATTGTCTTCAGCGATACAGACTCGAATCTGATCCCGGGGCACCATGGTCAAGTCTCGAGCAGTAGGAACCGGAGCTTTGTTCTCCGCCTGATTGGCAGCCTTGTTTTTGGCAGCTTTAGCGGCAGCGTCTTTCACCTTGTTAAATGCCAGATGGAACGTCACCGTAGTTCCAACGCCTGATGTCGAATCCAGCCAAATAGCACCGCCTAGGACGTCCTCAATAATTGCCTTGCAGATACTCAATCCGAGTCCACTACCGCCATATGACCGCGCCGTGGAGTTATCGGCTTGCGAAAATGGCCGGAACAGCCGGGACTTTTGTTCTTCTGAGATTCCAATACCTGTGTCGGATACAGAGCACTCTAAACGGACACGACCCTTGCCTTCCCTGGAAACTTTCGCTCTCACAGTCACAGATCCCTTGGGAGTGAACTTGTAACTGTTACTGAGAAGATTCATGAAGATCTGATGCAAGCGAACAGGGTCTCCGAGGACCACAAGTTCAGGTGGGACTTTGTCCAGATCCTCGATGGTCTCCAAACCACGATCGCGATGCGTATAGCGAAGTGCGCGAACCACCTCCGAGATTGTTTCCCGAATGTTGAGGGGTACGGTAGAGATCTTCATCTTGCCTGCCTCCAACTTGGAGAAGTCAAGGATATCGTTGATGAGTGTGAGCAGCGTGTCAGCGCAGACACGGATCGATTCCACATATTCGTCCTGCTCTCTGTCCAACTTGGTACCCTTGAGTAGTTCCGACAAACCAATAACGCCATTCATCGGTGTGCGCAGATCGTGAGATATGTTAGCCAAGAAGATGGACTTGGCCTTTGCTGCATCTTCTTTCAGCTTCACGTTATGTTTTGCTTCAGCCTCGGCCACTTTAGCCTTCTGCTCCGCCTCGCGAGCCTGGGCAAGTGCGCGCTTTTGAGCCTCCACCATAGAAGCGTTGGTAGCGCTGACCTTGCGCACTTCGCGGAAGAGCAACGCATTGGAAAGCGAGATACCAATCTGGTTGCAAAGCAAGTGGAGAACCACAACATTCCGCTGGGTGAATGAATTCGGTTTGCCTTCAATATGAATGACACCGAGCAGATGCTCGGCCTGCATAATAGGCAATGCGATCACGGATCGCCCAAGGGGATACCTGGCTTGGTAGCCCTCATTGACGTTCGAGAAACGCTCATCCTCCAAAACGTTGTGAACCAGAACTTCCTCCCTGGTGCGCATGACGTAGTGAGAGATCTGATGCGCCATCTTATCCTCGATTTCGGAGAACGGAAGGCCATCCACGAAAGACTTCTGTCCTTTCTCCAGGTCCCCAGCCGCAGCGACCGTGAAGTTATTATCAAAATTGGTCGCAATGACCGCAGAGTCTGAGCCATTGCAGGATTCCAGAACGATTTCAATCATCTTCGTCAAAAGTTTGTCGATCTGAAGCTCCGAGGACATCACTTGACTAGATTCGAGGATGCTTGATAAGTCGATAATATCTGTTTCATATTAGAACGGCTCAGAATAAGGGAGTGAAGCGCTGTAGCTTACCAAGGCCGACGCCAGATATGTCGAATGAACGCTCACCCGTAGTAACGCCATTTTGTTCTATCCAGCGTTGCTTTCTGTCATCTTCTTCCATATTTTGTGCTACTCCCATGTGTTCTTGGCCGGTATTGCGATTGATTCCGAGCAGCGAGTCCACGGTTTGACAGCCAGCGTCAACGTTCCTCGAGGATGTGGCGGTTTTCAATAGCCATTCATGCTTCTCGGTCAGCTGCGCCGCCTTGCCCACGGCGCTTATCGCGGCCCATGCGGCAATTGCGTCTTGCATGACAGAACGCGCCGCCCTTTTGGCACCGCGACGGATCAGGAACTCTCCTATTCGAAAGTTAATTTGGGCCAAGACGTGGGGGTAACCCCTCCCCCAAAGCATTGCAGTTCGGGACGTCGGTGTACATACCATGCAGTTCTAGAGCAAGCGCTTCCTCCAAGGGCCACCCATGGATTTGACAATGATCGATTGCAGCCTGGCTAGGTTAGATTCCCTCCACAATGTATCCAGAGCAATTCTGCAACTTACTTCGAAAGATTGAATTGCAGAAGTATGGTCATTCCGGACTTCGCATATTAGTGCCTCCAATATCAAGGACCACATTCCATAATTGGCATCGCAAGCACTGCGCGCGAAATCCACTTCAGCTTTATACTTTAAGACCGTATGCAGGCTTCCATCAAGATACCCGCGAGCAGGGTACTCGTTGTGGAGAGTCAAAAGAGAAAGGGCGAGATAGAAGTAGACTACGTATGAAACACGAGCAGACCACAGCCTGGGCATAGTCTCCATCATCTGCATGCCCAGCTGTATAGCCTTAGTATGATGTCCGTATGCAAATAGCGGAATCATTGCAAGACCCCAGTAAATGTCTCGCGGGCGATCGGCGTTGCTGGCATTGTTGTCCAGGAAAGCGATGTACTCGTTCGTGTGATGGTGCTCGTCGGACATAATAGTGTCAGGAGAACGACAGGCCGTTTTACCTTGCAAAGCACGCGCAACTTGTCTACAGGCAAACATGTTAGCAGGTGACATTTTCTTCCCTTCCGTAGGTATCCAAGACGTCCTTACCTTACTGCAAGCAGACTAGCACCACCACGAGTATCATTGACCCAGTCGGGAATGTCTTCTGGGCTTTCGTTGCAGAACGCCTCCACCTGCGCCATATCATGGCCTAGATATAGTCTTGTCATCGCCATCGAAGACAAACTGATTAAGGTGATGTATGGATCGCCCATCGAGAAGGATGTTTCCACAGAGGCCTCGAGATTTGGGAGTGTCGAGGACAGTGGAACGCGCAAGTGGCCGACGTAAAGGTTATGTACAATAGAGCCCCGGCTTTGAGTCCACTGTTCAGGACACCGCTCAAGGAGGGTGAGCGCGAAATCGCTCAGCCTCACGGCGAGCTCTAGGTCCCTAAATCGGCTGAACGATATCATCGCGAGGTGCGAACAGCCGATGGAAATTTGCACAAACCCGCCTTTAAAGAGATGTAGGTTCATCATCTCAATGGCCATTCGGTAGAATGTTAGTGCATCATCCCAGTACGTGACAGCCATCGCCTCAGCCATGACCTCTCCAATAGTGATCATGTCGACATCCTTGCTGACGGGCTTACGGACAATAGCTTCCAAGTCCGCTTGCTCGAGGTACGCGCGAAGATTACGGTAGGCATCATCGCAATCATCGTAGGTCGTAGGCTCTCGCAGATGCACACCAAGCTCTTCCAGACACGTAAGGAGTGAATCCATCGAACGGAGGTGGTTACCCATCTGAGCGTAGATCTTGGCCTTCACAATCCAAGCTCTTGATTTGCAGACGGCACTCTTTCCATGTTCGAAGACTTTATCTAGCAGGTCCAAAGCTTCCGTGTTATGGCCTTGAGACCATGACATTTCAGCCGTAGCAATATGCAGACGCAAAGTCTCCCGGTAGTATACATCAGCGTTATTGTCATCCCAAGGATTGTCTTGAAGGAAAGTGATGCAGTGCCGGAAGTACCAAAGCGCTGTTGGACGCGCACCCGATTGCGCAGCGGTTTGCGCCGCATCCCATAAGATCTTTCTATATTCAAGTCTCTCTACGACACGAGACTTGATAATCCGAGACGCCAGGGCCACATGTCGTGCCATTGCGTATCGACTGCGGCCATCATGGTAGTACTTCATCATTGCCTGGGATATGATAAAATGCATTTTGTCCACATTCCGTCCCTCTGTCAACGAAAGAGCCGCTTGCGAGAAGCGATCATTGACAAATCTGAAACACTGGTT